TTGGTTTACCTAGTATTTTCACCAGCTACAATTTTTCCCCAAACAAAGCAAAAACAAAACTACCACGAGCAGAAAGTGATTGTGGCATCGGGCTCTTCTTGTTTTCTGTCCCATTGTACCATAAGATAATTGGCATTATAATCGGACAAATTAAAATTAGAGAGCTCTCTGAGAGTCATATCCTTCTACTGGAATCATATTTACACTGGAATCTACTGGAAAATATTTACAAATTCTTTTCAGAAAAATCAAGATACAGAGTAATGAAGTCACTCCCTGCTTTAGAGAAAACTGATTGCTGTACTCATAAAAAAGGGTAACGCAATAAATGGCTACAGTTTGGTTTTGGTCAAGGAGAGATGCTTTTCCCAACTTGGTGTCAAAGTCAACTCAAGTGCTCTACAGACTAGGCTGTAAATTCCTAGAATCCGTATTTACCACAGAATTCAGTAATAAAAAAAGATCGTTTAAACCATCCTCCTTGGGCTTGGCTACTGTCAGTAAAAACCCTTCTCCCCACTGCCTATAGCTAAAGTTTAAACTTCTAGAAGTGGACCATCTCTACTTTGCTCATGAAAAGAGGAAACCAGCATTAGCCTTTCACAACAGAATCATCCAGGCAAAATGTCTTACGCAGACATTAACACCTTGCTTTGTGTCTGCCAGACCCATGACCCATGGGCATACTGCACTTGTGCTACATAGGAGCACACAGAGGAAAAAGGGGTGCACATCACTAAAACAGAGCCAATACAAGATGACAACATTTAGTTAAATTTACCTAAAATGTCTGCTGTAGGATGGGTACGATCTGGTGCTTCCAAATCCTGGTAGAGTTCCTTGTTGTACAGCTCCACTAATACTTTGCTCTATTTAAAATCAAATTTTAGTTGGGATTTTCTTCGCGTGTTTTATCTTCAGTGTCCTCTTCATCCCTTTCTCTTCTGTAAAAAAAAAAAAAAATCAAGAAGGCATTTAAATTTGAGTGTACATTTCTCTTTTAAATTGACACAAACACACAGGCAGTTTTCTCAGAGTTGTTGGCTATTTTTCATCTGTTCAAGTTGCTTCCAAACAAGTCCTTCCCTGTGTGGAAGTGGGGCCCCTCTGAAAGGTGAGGGATGAGTGTCCAAAAAGCCTTTTTGACACAATGACTCTCTGCCAGTGCTATCTGATTAATCAGGGGCACGTTCTTCCCTTGGTATGTGTACAATGTAATTCCCACTAACATCAAAAGGAAAACTGCCCCCCTTAAATTTGTCAGGCAGCAACTACCCCGGGGCTGGCCTTTTGTTCCAAGGCTGAACAAAATTGCTCAGCCTGTGGATGTTTTTTTCACCTGCCCACTGTGGTGGGCCAGCTTCCTTCTGGCACATGCACTTACCTCCTGCTGCCCAGTGCCACCAAGCACATGCAGCGGCAGGGGAAGGAGCAGGCCTGCCCAGCCTGGCAGCCATCCTGGCTACTGCTGGCACAGCCAGCATCTTGAAGCTTGTGTGCTGTGGCAGACATCTAAGGCACTGAGCCAGAGTGTCCTGGCTGCCAGGGGCTGTGTTCAGAGAGCAGCACAGCTACTTTCTCACCCCACAAATCAGTTAATTTTGAGCAACACCTGATCACAGTGACACAGCTCCTGCGAGCCCATCATACCCTCATCACAGACAGCTGTGGTCATCACAGGAGCCCAACAGCAGCTGTGGGAGGGAATGGTGCCTTGTGGGAGTGCTGTTGGCATTCATGTGGACAAGCAAACGCTCCTGGGATCTGCTCCGGACCTAAGGCTGACTGGCTCAGTGTGGCTTATGTCTCACACCACCGAAATCTCTTACCTTTCCCCACACGGTCTCCCAAAAGAGTGCCCATGGCTATGCTGCCTTTGGGCACCTGCTAACCCTGAGCCATGCCCAGGCAATGCTACGGGGGCTGTGTGACTGGCCAAACCAGCAATTTAACAGTATGAATGACTGGGCTATGTATGACCCTGTTGAGTTTACAAATGAAAATACGATCCATGGATGCCTAGGTGCCTGGTTTTTATCCATGCAGTGGCTTGGAAAGGCAGACACCCAGTATCAAAAATGCTGAGAGAAAAGCAGATGAGGGGTTAATAGCAACCCCCACCATGAGGAACATGGCGCCATTTTGTAATTCTTTGGTTACCAGCACTGTGAAAAGAAAACCCTCACAGCTAAGGAGAAAGCCTGGCCAGCTTTGCAAGAGGGTCCCCAAAACAGTGAAGTACGTGTAAGGGACAAAAAGGCGACAGAATCGCTGTACAGGGAGAGGGCAGCATGGCTTCCACATGCCAGGAAGGGACTCACCTGATGGGAGGAGAACATTTCCTCCTCTGCTTCCCTTCAACCTTAAACCTCCTACTGTTGCTGCCTCCATTTCCAGTTGCTCAGCCACTGAGCAGGGCTGGCAGTTGATTCCAAAAAGTGCCTGAGAGGATAGGCCGGCTGCTGCCGAGAGACCTGAGGGGGGAGAGGCGCCATTTTGAGGCGCCCTGTGCCTCCCCTCAGTATGGCGGCCGGAGAGGCCCCCTGCCTCTCTCCCGGCCCTCCGAAGGGTAGCAGTCTGCTGCCTCCAGGGCTGGAGGGACACCATTTCACCCTGTCTCCTAGCTCAGGCTCTGCTGTGGTGGGGCCTGGGTGCAGCATCTAACTAACTTCTTAGGAATGCAACCCCCTCTGTTCGAATCAGCTGCCCATCAGGCAGCCCCATGTTGCGGAGTCGTGCCCAGGCAGCACTGAGCTCCCTCAGCCTCCTACGGCCTGAGGAAGGGGTGAGGTCTCCTCAGCCCCTCTCTGCTTCAGCCGAGATGCATTTGAAAGAGAGGAACTACATCTGAAAAGTCATGCAAAGCTTGCACACGATGAGTTCGCAGCAGACAAGCTCAATAAGATGGTGATACTCAGTCTAACCCCAGAAGTGGATAAATTTGTCTTTTCTTTCCTTAGAGAACTCCACACCCCGACAGTGGGAGTTGCCCAAGGAGCATGACTGTGTGCTACCTGAACAATTTCAGAGGGAAGGAGTTCTTTCACAGCATCACTTTTCCCTGGCCTCCAGCCCCGGGAAGCATCTGACAGCTATTCCTGTGGACTAATAACCTACCTGCTTCAAGAGGAAGTGTATGCTAGTAAAACATCATATTTTCTCGAAGTTCCTGGAAGACAAACTGGTTGCATGTTTATGTGTCATTGATAATCCTCCCTCCAATTCATTCCAGCTGAACACAGGCCAAAAAATCAGCTGTGCTTCCCCAAAGTTTCCTTTGAAAAGGCTGTTGCAGAGCTCTCTTTAAGTCCCTCTCATAGATGGAGAGTAGAATACTAATTTACACTACAATTATCTTTGTCTAGACCAATAGACATATTACAGCTTCCAGAATTTTTCAAGGAAAGAGAAAGGGAAGAACTTGGACCTTGTCTTTACAAGAAAAAAGCTATAAAGTCAAAATTCTATTTGCAGAAAGAATTCTGCGTTGTACATAATTCCATTCATACCTACATCACACAAATACTTCAATCTCTAACAAAGAGACCACTTTTTTTTCAGCCTCGTATTTTCATGGTAGGGTGCCAAAAACTCAGATGATTGACTGCTTCACTTACCACTTTGATTCAGTGGCCAGCCCAGTCCAAACCATGACAGCTCCATAAGAGTGACACCAAGGTATCACTGCCACGCTGAAGCAACCAGAGCACTGTGCAGTTTTGGCGATTTGGAACACACCTCTGCTGAGTCCTTATCCAGTGTTCAAGAGCTGTTCATTAACATACACCCAAAGACTATAAATTATAACCATCATCAAACATCTGGTACCACCTGAATGACCAAGACAGCCATGGGCATCACTGGAGCTTTTTTCTTCCAACTTACCATGTGGATTTCCAGAAATGCGTGACACCATCTCAGCTCCTTTTGCATTCAACTCATCCCCTGGAGTGAGTCACTTCTGGATATGTCTCGCTTCATTAGCTATAGAGGGAGCGTAAATGAGTGGGTTAGAATGGTCATCTGGCTTCTAGATGCAGATGTCAGGAGGGGAATCCTACCTTCCGTCTGTCTGACATAAACAGTCCCAGCAGGTCTCCCAACAGGGCAAGAAAGGCATGTTGTCCCATGAATAAAAGCTAGCAAGTTTGCATCAGATGAGCCCTATAGGATGTTCATATGCAGTGTCCACTGAGGCTGCTGCAGTGTGTGAGCACAAGACAGCAAAAACCTAAAGTGATACTGGCCTGACTTGAAAAAGTAATTTCATTTTATGCCACGACACTGCAAAGTAATTATGCTCAGAATGACTGTTTTTACTGCCTAAATACATTTTTAGTACTTAAGCATCCAGGTAGATTCAATTGTGCTTGCAATTTTGCAGATATTAAAGAGGGAGACTAAATGACTGAGGCAGAGGAAAGAGAAAAATACAGCACTTCCTGCAAGACAGCCTGATGCATGGACAAGAGCATACCACTAGTGCTCAGGAGCCTCCAAGTCTAGTCCTGTTTTGACCATGGACTGACAAATGTTTTAAAGCGAGGCATGGAAAATGCAATGCAAGTGTTCTCTGTGTCTTTTACAAAAATAATACTGGCTGAAATCTTCAACCAGTGTTAAATGTTAAATAACAGAACTCACTGACTCCAACAGAAGTAGTATTACAAGCCAGATGGAAATCTGGTCAGCTTTTAAGAATAAGAATTTCCTTCATGAGTATCTTTTCCAAAAGCAATGTGATACAGCACAAATATAAGCAACACTTGAACTGTTATAAGCAACACTTGAACTGTTATAAAATAATTTTTTTTAAAAAAGTAATTATTTTAATCCAAGAATGTGATTCTGATAAGCTAAAGCATACTTAGAAGTTATGTATTTTATGTCAATAACTGTTTACAGAACCATGGCATTAACTGATATTCATAAAGCCATTTCACCATTCACAGAAGTTTTCATGAAGAAATAATATACGAGGCACACTAAACACTGTCGGGCCAAACACATTCTACTGTTTATTACACATATTACATTCTTAAATAAAAATGCGTCACATAACATTTTTGCATAGATATCTTACAATATACCAATTTAAAAAAGAATTATGAAACAGACCAGTAACAAAAATAAATTTTTTCTTCATTAATAATTTTGTAACATTAACATACCACCATCATATAATACAAATAATATTTTTAAATCTTAAGACTTTTTGTACAGCAAAAAAACTGACAAAGTAATATATTTATATATATATATATATAAAAAGCTTAAAAAAAATAAAATGTCAAAAAAAGGCAGAACTGAGGGCTACAAGATTGGGTACTTCTGTGATATATTAGAAATACCAGAGTAGGCCTGAGAGAACGTGACCGAGGGCATCTCCAAAATGCACTTGTCAGACACATCTGGTAAAAGAAAAATTATAGTGCAAAATGAAAGTCCTTCAAGCAATGTTGTTTTTTTTTTTTCTTAAATAGGGAGCATTCATACTTTCTTGTTGTTGTTGCTAAAAAAAATCCCCCAAACAAAAATCTAATGTGTAGTAGAGAGCAAGAAATGTTTCCAAGGACAAGAAAGAAAACAGGCTGTTTTGCAAAGCAAAAAGAAAAAAAGTTCTCAGCCTGCATTATTATTTTTTCAACTAGAAAGTAGTAGACATGCTAAACTAAGGCCTTGTTTCTAAGAGAAAAGCTGTCACGGTTTATACGCAGTGATTTCAAAACCAGGTACTTAAATTGGTGCAAGAACCTTCCTGTAGAGGTATCTTAATTGACTGAAGCATTTCTTACACTTTAGCTTAACTGCAAAGGATGCCAATGCAAACTCAATCCAGGCAATCAAGTAATAGGTGCAGCTAAAAAGTGATCTTAACTAGACCGGTATTTTAAAGTAGGGCAACTTCCCTAGTAGAGACATGGCCTTGGTAACAAAGTAGTGTTTAAACCAGTGTTTTGATCTACTTCCAGAATCTGACAGGCCTGGGGTTTAAAATACAGAGCGATGGGTAAAAAGTATGTTGCAAAATATAAAGTAAAGATCAGCCCTTCAGCCATCAGGCCTTCCAGGGGCTGCATGGTAGCTTTTCATTTCCCCGAGAGCCCAACAATAAAGGCTAAAAATGTCACCTTTCCGTCCATTCTAGTTCACTTTTAGTGTGTACATGCTAAGCCCTCATACCCCTCCCTTCCCACCTCCCCTCCCAACCCCCAAATTTGCAGCCTACTCATTCACAGTACACAGCAACATATATTTCCCAGCATCGTTGAAAACTTTCCTACAGAAGCTGACATGATTCCTAAAATGCAGTGGCAACAGCAAGTGCCCTCCCTAAATCAAAGCAATAGGCACAGTTGGCTACTACAAACTGTAAGTCAGTAGCTCAGTTTCCTCTTCTGTGTAGGTATATACGGGATACTGTTGTACATCCACATCCACACAGAGACAGGGTGGAGAACCTGTTTTCTGGCAGTATATAGAAGTTAGGACCAAAGCACTTAAAAAAATCATCAAAGCTTTCATTTTGAAAATCGCAAAGAGTTCCAACTTTAATTATTACAGCAAAAATGCCATTAACAAGCATTAAGGAAAACTATAAAACCCTGTTTGAAAAATGACACCTGCATTTGAAAGTTTTCAGGTAAGGAAATCTGTTCTTGAGGTGATAAAGGCAGCCTGCCCTCTCATCTCCACATTTTTATGCACATACGTTATATATACAACTATATCATTATATATATAACTTATATAGCACAAGTATGTCTTGGACTTCTTCCTCTAAGGGAGGAGGAAATTCTCAGCTTTACAAGACAGACCGTAGTACCTGGTGGGCCAGATCCTACAGCTGTTACAATGCTAAATCTTGCCAGTGAAGCCAGTGTAGAGCTGTGGAGGAGAAAGACTGCAGGCATCATCCCTAAACTATCAATAAAATGAGATACAAATGTGACAAAAGGAAGAAGAATATTCAAGCTTGATCTAGAAATGATCATTCAAGAAGGCGTAGATTTAACGCTGATGAAAGGCAGGCAAGACTTGTCAATGAGTAGTTGTAATATTCTGGGAGGAAATAATTTTCATTTCTCAAGACAGTTAAATGGAGTTATTGTCACACATTTTTTTGTTGTTCTTGGTATGTGGGGATGTTTGCAAGTGCCTTTCTATCTGAAATCACCAAAAAGTACTTTAAAAGAGTGTTGGGTTAGAGGTGTCACCCAGGATACAAAAGCTTAAAAACAGTCTTACTGCATGGAATGACAGGATGTGCCAAGTCCTGAATGAAATCAAGAATAAAAGCCCTTGATCCACTGGGTGCTGGCCTAGTAACATTAAATTATTTACAATTTTTTCCTTTTTTTTTTTTTAATTTAAAGACTTTGACACACATTAAGGGAACAGGCAGATAAAAGGAAACACTTAAGTAAGTTGGATTTTCATTAGTTTTGTCAAAAGCACCAATTATGACCTCTTTTGTACATAGATAAACAAACTACATTAAATAGGGGGAGCGACCTTTGTGTTGGTAACAGCTAAAAAGCCCAAATCGTCTAGGGCCAGGTAAAAATGAGAGAGAAAGCCTGATTCTGTAGATACCAGAAAGGTCACAGATAAGATACACTCAGTCACTACAACTATTATATTAATCAACTCCATTTTAGCCACACCCCCTAGTGCTTTGCTAGCTTTTTACTCCTGAAATTAAAACAGTTGCAAAAGCAAGGTCCTGGGGTCTCCTGCATTCAGGTCCTTCTTCCCCATCTGTGTTTGGTAGTGCTTTCCACATATTAACTGAAAATGTGCTAGCCTAAATTTCCAAAAAGTATAAGGAAAATAAGAATGAGTGAAAACAAAAGGAAAATTTATTGTTTACCTTTGGAGAAATTTATGTTGGCCTAGATTTCAGGTCCTGGAAACCATTTTTGAGATAACGTATGGGTCTTCCCGGCTAACAAACTTGTTTCCGTAACATCTGGTTGGTCCCTGCAGCTGTGACACATTTCATGGTATGATATTGCTTCAAACTGGCTTGCTAAAGGTTTGGGGTTTTTTTAAGATTTCTTCCTCTCTAAGTCTCTCTCATGAAGAAGCATTATAAAGTTTAACAAAGATTAAACCATCAGAGTTTGAGAGAAACCCTACAGACCTGTGCTACGTCTGTTCCACAGCACAAGCCTGGGAAGAACTAGAACCAGTACACACTTAATCAGAGAGAGCTTTGAAATGAATCAATCGCAGAAACACAGGAAAATTGAAGTTGGAAGGTACCTCTGGAGGTCAACCCTCTGTTTAAAGAACGGTGTAGGTAGATCAGACTGCTCAGGGCCTTGTCCAAGACATTGAAAGAATCTAGGATTTCAGCCCTTTCTTTTCTTCATTTGCCAATTTATCCAGGTAATATAATTTTCTAGACTGAGTACTAGCTATCGAAAAAGAATAACTCCAGGATAATGAAAAATACTCTGGACTCTGGAATCCCCTTTTCTGTTAGACCAATCTTTATAAAATAGATATGATATTATAGGTTGCTCTTTATCTCCTAAGGGGAAAAACAAGCAAAGATGCACTGAAGTGTTGTTTTGGTCTAAAAAGTGACTAAAATACACTATCATGTTTCTTCATATTCAATGTAGCATGAGTGCAACAATACATTTTTTTAGATTAAGGTGAAACATCCAGCAATGATTATGTCGGAATTTTGCTTGCCAAGCCTCGAGCCAGCAGTATAGAGAGCATATTTCTATAAGCATATTTTTATATATAGATTCAGCAAATCTGATTAGAAAAATCTTTATACTGGTTATAAGACAATTTTCAAAATAGAATCTCATCATGGAGTATAGCTTGTCTCAATTAGATAATGGAAAAATCCAGAATAAATAAACTATATCAACATTGTAACATACGAAGTACACCTTGATCTAGAATATTCTGTCTCCTTTTGGTCTCCCCACTACAAGAAAATTATTGACATATTGGAGCAAGTCTAGCAGAGAGCTGCCATGGAGATAAAGTTCTGGAACATGTGATGGATGAAGAGAGGCTGAGAGACATGGTTCAACACTGGAAAGAGGAGGGTAAGGGTAGATCTTATTGCTGTCTACAAATACCTAAGAGAGGGTACAGAGAAGAAGCAAAACCCTTGAAGGTACGCAGTGGAAGAGGCAATGAAAAAAGTTGGAACATGGAAAATTCTAACTTAACACACAGATTTTTTACGGTTTGGTTTGGGTTTGGTTTTGGTTTTTTTTTACCATAATGGTGGCCAAATATTGGATCAGCTTGCACACATATTGTAGATTTTCCATCCTTGGAGATATTTAAAACTCAGCTGGATATGTCCCTGAGCAACCTGCTCTAGTTGGAGGTTGGCCAAGATGGCCTCTGGAGGCCCCTATCCACCTGCATGATTCTATGATTGACTGCTCCTCTGCAAAATATTATTTAGCTATTCACAAAAACTCACATTTGTTTTAGTTACTTCCTCTATGTACACCATTTTGTGAGAATGTTGTCTCAATTTGTTCTCATCCTACAGTTCCACGGCCTTGGAAACCACAATCTGACTTTCTTATAAAGGCTTCTCTTTTGCAAATAGGCATAAATCTAGCATGAGGAAACAACATTAAGCTTCTCCTTTGTACAGCTGGATAACTCAGTCCTCAACTGTTACCAAATCATCTATTTATGGCTTTGCTTCCAAGAAGCCTTTCAGAGAGTATTAGCCTTTCTTCATTAGTCTGCTTCTACTCATAGTTTACAAATAGAGGACAACTGTACAACTCTAGCAAGGAGACACAGGCCTAAAAAGGATCTAGCTATAACAGATTACACAAGTTTGAAGTGTACAGCTTAAAATATCTGCAAAGAAACAAAACTTGTCATTGTAAAAAATAGATCCTGGAATGTGTCGTTAATTATGCATTTCCAAAATGGAGACTTCTACAAAATACCAGCTATGGTTCACAATTTTAGCGATGACTAAGACACTTGCATATGAGCACCCAAAAACTGAAGTCCAGAGATTGACTGAGTACACCATGTATACAGGTGAAAAATACCTCCCTTAATAAACAGAAGAGATGGTCCTAAAGCCCAAAATTTGGCTTCAGAGTTCAAGACCTGCTACAGAGAGAGCCTGAGAAATCTGAAAACTGGTTGTCTCTTACCCCTTTTTCTCTATGTTTTTTATGCTATTTGGATCCATGATTTAGATGTAGGCCTGCCTCTAGCATAAAATAATCAGACATTTCAGCATGTTTTTTTCCATGGGGCCCTTGTTCTGCCATATTTAATTAAGATGTCAACAAGACCATAAATGACAACTGGAAGTAAATAAACAGTCTTGCTTGATTTCTTCCATTTTAAATAGAGTCTGGTACGTAAACTGTCAATAACAAAGGTTTGTAGACTACTGGTAGGATGTCCAAAGGCAACTGTGTTCAGAGGTCAAAGGAGAATATTTATGCAGGTTCACAGCCAATGAATATCATAGTGGTGGGTTTGAGAGCACATGCTTTAGGACACTACAATGAGGGAATTCTAAGATTCTCTTATCCTTTTTTTAACCTAATGCACTGACTGGATGCTCTACAGTTTCACACAGCTGAGGTTTCAGTTCCCACTAGGCATCTAGCAGGATGCTCTGTATATTCCAACACAAATTGGATTCTAGGGCCCTCAGTCCCAGTGGAACAGTTGGGTGGAATGGCCATAAAAAGTATGCAAACACAGAAGTAGAGAAATACGAGATTGTCAGCAAGCAGTGCTCCGCAATTTTTAAATGTATACATATATATAAGCATATATATATACACATATAGAGTACGGTTAGTTTAAAATCTTTGGAATAAACTCAATTTTCCTTCTCTCTCTCTCTCTGTCTTTCTTTTCTTTCTCTCTCTCTCTCTTGCTCTCTCTTATGCTTTTACCACGAATGTTACATCATTGTCCCTAAAAGATGGTTGGATTTTGGTCCATATTTCATGCCATATGGGCCAGACATCGTATTTCCCCCCTGTCCCCAAAGTGTTCAGTTGACAGTCACAGTGTTTTGTGAAAACTGTGAGGAAAAACAGCATCTTTCGAGTAAATTCACTCTCTCACTGGAATCAAAGGTTGCAAAAGGCTGAGAATTCAAGTGCCAAGGATCCCGGTGACGGCTCTTAAACACCTATTGAGTTTCTTGTTTGTTCTTTTTTCCCCTAAGAGTACAGTTTTACCTCTCAAAACATAAATTAAGGGAAATATTTAACAGTCAATGAGTCAAAACAGTCAAAGAAGGGCAGTTGGCTAATACAGTATAAAAGAGCAGCAACCATTTGTGGACCACACACCATTTTGTTTCATTTCTAGACACATCTTGAAGGGATGGTCCCAGAATATACAAAATATACAAACTAATGACCACCTGCCTGCTTGCATAGGCCATTTTTATGGTCCTAAATGCAGTCTTTGGAGTCAGGGCCAATGCCAAATAGTTTCAAATGCAAGTTAGGATAAGATACATTTTTTTGTATTTCTTTTGTAATGAAGACTTTAATCCACTTTGAGCCAACAAAATCAAATTATCAATAGGACTGAAGGGTGAGCATGAGACCTCCACTTCTCCTTGATGTTTCACACAGTAGGCCAAAATGGACCTCTAGGTTAGTAATACTTTAGACCAATCATTTGGAAAAGCCTCACTGCTGGATGTAAAATCCAACCCTTCCTTCACCGTTCACACTGTTACATCTTTTTCATAAAGGAGTGGGCCACAGCATCAACTTGATGAATGGAAAAGGAGGACTTTGATAATTTCTTTAAAAGGCTAATGCTGAATGAAGCCATTGTACTTGGAAGAGGTTCTCGATTTCCTGCTCAAAGAATGGAGCAGGATTTTTGGCTTTGCTTTTTTTTTGTGTGTAAGATGCTCAACAAACATTGGCTTTAAATTAAAATGTCTGCAGGTGCTCTTTACACAAACAAAAGTCTAATGTTTTAGATTGGTTAATAGAAGAACAGCAAGAAAAAGCAACATAATTCATCACTAAGTCGCTGTGGGTTGTGGCTAACATGCTCACATGATGTGGAAGGAATCCTGTAGTCATGCCTGCGTGGCCAGTCCCAGACTGATATCCAGGTGAAGACAAGGAGTTCTGAAGATCACTTGTTCGTGGAGAAAAGAGAAAAAAATGTTTAAGCTTCCAAGTAAGCTTTTAAAGTTTTCTGTTCAACAAATAAACAAGAAGTCCTAGCTATGGCAATAGGGTGAGGCCTACAGAGATATTAGGTGCTGTTTCTCAGGGGTTTATCCCTTGGCCACTTAGCCATCATGGCAGCAGCTTCCAGAGTCCCTAGTGCATATGTTGTGCAATAGCCAAAACAAAAATCAAAATAAAAACAACCAACAAAAATATAGTCCTCCATTAAGTCTACATAAACTCAGGCCAAAAAGAGGATATTTGTGTCACAAGTGTCACTCCACAGTCTACTGCCAGTAAGGCCACTGGTATTGACTTAAAAGGATCTCAGTAGCTCAGTTCTAGGAAGAAGAACCAAAACCAAGACAGGTCAAAGTGTCTGTGAGAAGTTTGACGCACTGAACATTAGGAATTCTCAGACAAAGAACAAATGAACCAAGAGGTTAATTTTGGCTACCAAACTGGGATTTGGTTTTCTAGGTCATTGTTTCCCCCCATCTATTTAAAAAGAAAGTTAGTGCTACAAATATGCAACTTCAAGACGACATATTATCCTATTGAGTTGCACTGAGAAGCAAGTTAAATAAGCCCCTCCTACTGCCGTCCACCTGCAGGGAAGCCTCCTCCATTTTCTTTGATTTTCGCTGGCAAAACCAGGAAACAAATCCAAAAGGGACGAAGTACTGTAAGCAAATGTTCCTTCTCATTGACTTCACATCTATACCATTTCCTCGCCTGCATCTTCTCCCATCCAGCTGGGGCAAGGCATAAAGAACCGATGTACGTATTGAAGTATAATTGGGTGCATGACAGTGCGAGCGTGTGGTCTCTGTACAGAGGGTTACACGTGATCAAGTTCTCTTCTCCTGCAAGGCAGCGCGTTGTAACTTGAGTTCCACTTTCATCTCACAACACTTAGCTCAGACGACATCCATGCCATGACTGATATTCAGATGTGTCTCTTCATGTGGAGGGCGAGGTGATCAGACCTGGAAAAACACCTGCAAAATAAAGCAATTGGGAAACGAAATAAATATAGCATTTGGGAAAACAGGACTCCTGCTCCTTCCTCCTTATGTACAGGAGGAAATACACATCCAGATTTAGAGACATTCCTTAGATTATACATGGATCCCTACCAAACCCTGTGTGATTGACCTCTGTGACCACAGACAGCCAACTATCCTGGCTCTTTGGTAGCTAAATACACTACTCTTCTCCTTTCTCGTCTTTCACAGAGTCAAACGTCAGGGAAGAGTGCTCATCTATGCACCTATAGTACAAAATAGTATAAGTGTGTGTGTGCGTATAAAAAAATAAAATAAACCAAGTCAGTTTTGCTCAAGTACTCAGCAACATCTGTTTAAAAAAACACCAGCTTTCTCAAGCACCCAGTACCTGCAATAAGCACCAAAATACGATGCCAGTTTTGAAAGCTAAATTCTCATTTCTAACTCCAAGCTGGAAGGAAAGTTGGGTCAGAGTTTGGAGACTGACAATTTGTCAGGCTACATATCTGTCCCTTTCTCTCTGCTGGGAATCTGTGTGGTAATATGTGGATATTGATGAATGTGACCTCTCTGACGGATGTTGAGAGAAGATAAGGTATTATGCCTATTTTGTAGGAGTGAACATTGAGAGACAGAGAAGGCAAGGAAACTGTAAATCACATAAGAACTGTGGTAAAACCAGGAAAAAATGCCAGGACTTCAGTTTTCAACTTCTGTTCTTTAATGAAAAAGCCATTTTTCTCCATCTCATAAGAAAACGTAATGTTTTGACATTCTGAACATGCAGATGGATGCTGATGAGATGGACTTAGAGTGGCAACCCTAGAGAACTAGTTGAGTCGAAGGGTTGGTCTAAACATGCAGTTAATTGAGAATAAGGTAGGGCATGAATTTGAAATGAAGCATCTATTCTTGATTAACTCCCTCTCTAAAGGCTTATGACTGCTGCCTTCTGAAATGACTTAATCCACTTGGGAAGTGGGTTAAAATACTCAAACACACTCCAGGAGAAGAGCAACCACACAAAGAGTTAATCAGGAATTACTATTCTAGAATAGTTGCCTTGTAGTAGACATGCTCCAGGGCACTCTCAGCAGCAGAAACAGCAGCCCAAATTCATGCATTTTACACCACCAAGATATTGTCAGAGTGATAAGGGGAATAAGCTCTCAGTAGGACAAGTGCCTTTCTTCCCTGTCATTCAATAAAGATCCCATTTTATCAAGACTGCCAGTAAGCAAGAAAATTTTTTAGACTTCATACCCATTAGAAATGGGATTGAAAGCACCAACCCGCTTCACATCCACCATCACAGTGTCATTAAAGATACGTGTGGTACCAGCGAGCAAACCACAGGACAAATGGGCAGTGGTTCTGGCTGCCTACCTCAAAGCCCTAAAATGGAGCCTGATTGTTAGAGCGGTAGGATTCAGACACTCTCAAAAATTAAACTTCTACTAGATACTTCAAACTGAGCACTAAAAAGCGGGAGGTTTCCAAGTTCCCTGTGACTCTTGGCTTGCCTTCTTTCCACTCAAAGCCATAAGACAATGGCTTATTTATTTTTACTAATAGCAAACCCCATCTATTATAAATATCACACAATCCCCACGTATCTGTGGCTTTTGAGTAAACTGTTTTTGTAGGCTCCAAGGGCACCATAAAAAGCTACTTCCAGAACTGACTCGCCTGCTCCACAGATTTAGAGTATAAAAGAGCCACCAATAGTGGTCTGAAGAATATCCAAATGGGTTATTGTGAGAATCTGGATAGCTCATACATGGGCACTGAACGTATTTCCAAAAAAGCAGTAGTTGAGTATTTCCTATTTTTCAGACAGAAGGTAAAAGAAGAAATTGAACTATTCAGTAAAATAAGCCAAGAACTAAAGATAAAAAAAGAACACTCAATCTAAAGGCAAACACCCAGAGGACAAACACCCTAAAAAGAGCGAAGGCCGAGAAAGAAAAGAACTATAAAATGAAGAGATTTTAAATAGTTAGGGGATCTTTTCTGTCCTGTTGGCAGTACTCCCCTACATGAGCAATCTATCTGCATCTACATGAGGTGAATTTTTGAGACAAAGAAACTTCATAAGAAGGGAACTTTGAAAGAAAAGCTAGATACTCATCTTCAGTGGATGAGCATAGCTCTGCTTGTCAGCTGTTCTTTACTGATTTATAGCAACTTACAAGGGACTTAATATCTTCAGAGTGGCAAAAATTAAGAAGAAAGACTTCAAACTAAGATGGAGGCTGCATTCCTCCAAGCTCTTACATGAAGCACAGCAAGACAGACGCGAATCTGACAATGGACACTTGGCTTTCAACACAGCAGGCTCAGCACAGCTAGAATTTTCTAGCCCTGGGGTGCCAAAATGTACCCTTGGACCAACATCTCTCTCGTCAGTCTAAACTGAGAAAGCAGCATGCGCTGGCTACAAGGGCTGCCAAAACAAAACAACAGCTTGAGTGGCTGCCAAAAAGACATGCACCAGCTGGCACTTCAGTCTAGGACTAGTCATAAGACCACCACCCAAGCATGGCTTTTCCTCTCCGATTGTCTCTATTATAGATGCAACACAGGAAAAAGTGTGCTGAGTCATAGCACAGCAAGGTCTGTTAAAAATATGGATTCAAGACATTGTTTCACATCGATAACCACACTATTAGCATCTAGTATATTTTTCAGCCCTAGAATATTTTTATAGCTAATAAAATGGTACCATATTTGCTAATTTATAGCTAATAAAATGGTACAATACTAATTCTTCACATTCTCCTGCTGACTAATTTGGTTAGTTCTATCTCCTGGTAAGACTGGTGGATGTGGACATTTATTTTCAACAGTAAAACAGACCCTACAAAATTTTGCAGCTAAATCATACTGCCAAAAAAAGCTATTGATAGCAGACACATTTTTTTCCCGGCTAGAACTAGAGGCAGCAGTGGAAGAGGCTCCCCAGGGAAACTCCTTTCTTCACAAATTAAGAAACAGCAGCTTAGTGGTCTCTAGTCCTGCCCATGAGATAAGACCTTGCTTCACACCTCTGGCTCTATACCTCTTCCAGTTCCAGACCAGCTCTGCACATTGTAGGTGGGCCCATCACAATCTTCCCCTTCATCTCTCCCCCAGCTCTTCCTAGAAAGGACAGTTTATGCTAGAGTAAGGTACTCTAATTTTGTAAGCCATACAGTGATGCGTGATGCATAAATTCTCTGCTCCCAGAGAGCAGAGATTCTTTCCTTTCTCTTTTTGATCTATCTCCTTAGCAACACAGCTAAGTGCTCAGCACTGAAGCCTCTGCAGGAGAAAGAGGGAAGGTAACTACAATGAGAACAGAATATATTGCTCAGCCATCTTTCTTACCAGCTGTGGATTCTCCACTGCGGGATGTGTTCATTCCAGCTAAGTGTGCTCTTAGCTTGCTGTCAGAAAGGAAACCACATGCGCGCACGCGCCCCCACACACACACAGAGGTTTATATACCCCAATAGTCTGGCACTAAGCTGCTATCTCCTAAACACATATTTATGCAGAACAAGCGAGTGCCAGTACCCTGTCACCCTCTTCCCCTTGGAGTGCTGGGGGCTTGTACTGTCTGAGGAACACAACCTTAGCCTGTGTTTCTGAAGAGTGTAATTCCTGGGGAATGCTAATAACCAGCATATCCCTGGAGTCTGGAAGGCACTAGGGACTTGTGTACTGCCTTCCACACCACTTTAGCTGATTCTCTTTTCTCCCCTGCTGCCACCAAACCACACACCATTTGCAGTACATATGGTGCTACTCAAACCAGTGGTAGCCTGCCAGCTATGAGCAGCAATGTGGTCTGTGGGCTGTGTGGTATTGGGATAGGACTGGGACAGCAGGAGAAGAGAATAACATCTTCTTATCTCTTTTGTTTTAAAATGGACCTGTACACAGAGAACATTAATACCCCTTTGATGTCGGCCAGAAGGTCAGAGACAAACACATCTGAAAACAGCCTGGAAAGAAAACTGCAGCCAGGCTGTATGCACAACATTCCTCCTCTTTGCTATTTGAAACACCACTTTCATGTTCTGATTGCCAAGGTACAGCCCTCACCTCTGAACAACAGCAGACATGTTTTGTGCTACATCAGTGTTGTTAAAAGTAGCTCAAAAGGCTACTTAAAGTTTAGCAGCCAGGATATCTTGAGTGAGTGACCAAAACTCCTGTCATTAATGGTGGATGCAATAAAAGGTAGCAGTTCAAATACGGAGAAACTTGCCAGCTGGGAACCTGAGCTCAGGAAGGAGTGTCTTTAACATTAAAAGTCTGGCTAAATAGCTAAGGACAGATTTAGGCACATGTTTCAGTGCTTGCTTGAGGTGACATCTGTAATAAGTGGGAGTAGAGAGATCTGTGAATGAGAAAAGAAAGAAAAATAGTAGTATAGCGGAGTGGGCCAAAAGAACAGGCACCATCACTCCACAATCTTGCAACAAGTGACTGGGAGACTAAAGACGTATCTGTTTCCTACCACCACACACAGATGTTATGTGCATGGAGTTCAACAATGCACAACCCCCAGCACCCTTAACTTATTAATAAATATTTTCCCTTCATCTACAGATTCAGCTGAAGAGCAGAAAATGCATTAGATGATTGCAGGAATATATCTCTCAATTTTAGTGACTTGAGTTGGCTGCCAAAATAAAAACCTAGGTAGGAATGGATAATACATAGAGAGAGAAGAATGAATACTTAACAAAGGGCTGAAAGAGACTGAGGAGTTCAAAACACTGACTGTATTTCTTTATATGTCTGCTAAAAATATTGTCTGTCCTGACACAGAAGCCCCAGGGCTTTGTGTGTATGTGTGTGTGTGTGTGTTTGTGAGGCCAGGACAGTTAGTTTGTTCTTCAGAGGAAAGCAAGGAGAAAGGCAATGCCTTACATTTAAAACAGGGAACATAACCTTTCTCCTTCACAGATGTGCTTATACAAAAGCAGAACTCCAGAGGTCCCTACTTGGCTTATCCTGTCCCTCATTCTGAGGAAACAAAAGATAATCCAGGGATAAAACAAAAGATAATCCAAGAGGAAGCCCTCTGTGGGGGAAGGGGGACGGAAAGAGGGGAGACAAGGGGAGAAAAGCACTCAAGGAGATGAAGCTCTTGGAAAGGCAGGATGTGAAAATGATCGAATTTCCTTCCCATAAAAGGACGGGGTCCCTTGTTTATGTCCCACACATCCTCTCTCCATGCATGTTCTCTGCTGGTCTGGTGTACCCAGAGGCTTCCTAGAGCCTTTATTGTATTACAAAACGTTTCCTTATCAGAGCAGAGAACCTTACTGCTGCATTAAAAAGATGGGTAATTTTCTTAAGCCTCTTTTAAAAATACATATAAATAGGATTAGCTGGATAACATGTTCAGATGCAAGCACATTATTTGATTACTCAATAGTGGATCCAGGTTTCACCCAGGGCACTGCCAATCTCCAGCTGGGGGGGTACGAGGGGGAGAAGTGCTCATTGTTCGATCCTGTCAGTGCTGTCAAGAGTCATTACAGGGGTAATTGCTTTTGCTCCACCCTAATTTCTTATCAGTTGGGACTGGGGACAGGGAGGAGGGTTTTCTTTTGGTTTTGTTTCTAAATTCAAAGAACACAGCTTTCAAAATCGCTCAGCACCAAGCAAGGATGACCAGATTTTTCAGACGAGTTCATCATTCATTCAAGCAGCTAAAGTGGTGAGGACTGCAAAAAGGAATCAGCAGCGAACGGCAGCAATTTTGGCTGCCACTGGGAGCTGCTGGATGCTCAGCTCACCAGGCAAAACTGGCCCCTCGTTTCTGAGTACCCAGAGAAAGACTGTTGCATGATGGGCTCTTCAGGAACCCTGGCTCTGGGCACCTGTCAAGCTTTTAAATCTGGGCCCACGCAAATGAAAGCGCAGAGTATTTCCCACATCAAATAGATGTCAAGGGTGAGATTTAAAACTGTAGGAAAAGATTCACTAATTAGCAGGAATGTGCAGAGATCACTGATCCTACACAAAACAACCCCATGAACGTGAATTGTCAGATATGCCTAAATCACTCCTGTGCTTTTGAAAATGAAGCCCTTTGCTGTCTCTCACTGACTCTCCCCTGTTTCATCTGGGGAAGAATGGAGCCCTGGACTCATTGGTAAGACAAGACAATGATCAAATAGAAATTAAGTGCTTTTCTCCTAGACATTTCCTATAGATTTGTGACACAACAGCCACACACAGTCCCCATCCCCCCAGTCGTACACCCATGTGGGGCACATCAGCTTCTGCTGACCACCCTGCCAAAAAGGTGGGAGCCACAGGTGGTGCTTGGTGTAGTCCCCAAAGCAAAGCATGCAGAGGAGCTCTGCCGTTGTGAGGGCACCAGGCTCATACAACCAGGAGATGGAAAGCTCTGGAGAAGCTTTGTTGAGAAGTCCGTCAGTGAAGTGGTCTAGGGCCCTCCGGACTTCTTCTATGCTTCAAGAGTATTAAGAGCAGCTGCTCTATGGACCAAATTCTGTGCCCACAACAGACACCACCAGCTTTCAGTCAGACCTACACCTGGTCCCACGTATTTCTCTGTGCTATGGGATGGAAACAGCTTAGGCTGTTAGGAAGTATTTCCCCTCTGCTGGGCCACTGAGGCAGAGGACAGGGGCAGAGTGGAGGGTCCCTCCGTGGCTCGGGGATCAAAGCAGTGGGACAGGAGGCCAGAACGGGCCCTTCTGCTGGGAGCCAGGTCTCTTGTCTTGGAGTAGCTGGTGCCACCCACAAAGTCCACATGTTACTTGAACACCGTGTTAGGAGGCTGCGTTACCTGTCACAATGGTTGCATTTAAAGGGCTTTGCACCCGTGTGCTTTCTGTAATGCCTCGTGAGCTCGTCACTCCGTGCAAAACGCCACTCGCACCCTTCCCACGAGCACTTGTAAGGCTTCTCACCTGCAGAGGGGAGGAGAGAACAGTCAACGTGGCATCAGGATTACTGAGCACTCAACTTGCAAGCCCTGGGTCCTCCCACCTTGCCTCTGTCCCACTCGGGCAGGTTAGCCCGTCACACAATTCATGACCAGTGTGGCATGGAGACAACTTAGGGCTTAGGATGCATTGTACTGAGGATGGATCCAGCCCAAATTTTACTGCTAAAATTCCTGCACAACCTTATTTACCACTTCTAACTAAACCAGTTGACTACTCTTCAAAGAAGCCCTCAGAACATCCCAAATGCCTGTCCTGATGTGTGCCTGTAGCCTGATTTTCAGGCAGCTTTTCAGATCACTCTATCCTTGCCAGATGAATTACTGTGGTAGCTTTGAGTGCCAGTACTAACACCTTAACACATAGCAGGTGTGCACCACTCCAGAGTGACCACACCACCGCATCACATGCCTTATCCCAGCTGCCATTTACCCCTCACATGGCAAGACTCGCATCTGTTCCCCTCAACCTTTCATGCCCACTGCTCCCTAGGACTGCATCTTCTTTAGTTGCTTCTGACAAGAAAAACTGTTCCTTGGTTCAAGAAATTATACATCAGGACAGTGAGAAGATGAATATTTTCTTCAAGAAATCAGCTGATCCTTCAGACTTTTTGCACTACACCTTTATCAGCTATTACTCTGCCCCAAAATCTTAGCCATACCACTGAGGGCAGTGAAATGGTGCAGTGATAAGACAGGAGAGATTCTGGTCTGCTGTGTTTGCGTTTACCTATCTTCTAATGCACACCAGTCTCTGAGGGTCAAAGTCTGCCATGGTGTAACATCCGTGGAGTCATTAACACCTTCTGATGGAGAATTACAAGGTCTCATGCCTCTTCTTTCCTTATGCAGTGCACATGTATTCATGTGCATGCAAATTTATCATCTCCCCCCAGAACAAATGCTCCAGTGCATCTCCTCTGATATGATGGCATGTCACTATTCCCCATGCAGTCAGCACTGTATGGATGCATTAGAAGAGGAGGGAGTTAAGATAAAACACAGACAAGAAATCACTTTCACTACCAAGCTTCTAAGCTGGGAATTATAAACAGAGAAGGGATTATGACTTATTTACTTCTTCTTAAAATTGCTAAGGAGGTGATCTTAAAAATCCCACCACTGACCAAACTGAAGTTTCAGGCTCTATGACCCCTCTATGCCAGTCACGTGAAACAATCACTTGGCCACAGCAAATTTCTCAGTGCAGAGACACAGATTTCTATATTTAGCATGTCTATTCAGCAAGTAAAGAAGTGAGATGTGCTTATGGGAGACCCATGTATTTCAAGGTGACAAACTGGAGAGGCCGAAAGAGCAAGAAAAGTGAAGAGCGCAAGGGAACTGCATCAAAATACATGGAAAAAAAAAAAAAAGGTGTTCTTTGATGAGTGAGTGAGTTTTTGTGGACTTCTTATTGCACAGGCAGCTCTGTTGCACGGCGGTCATCCGCCCCAGACAGAACAGCAGAGTGGGCTGAGATGTTAACTGGAGTCGAACCATTTTACTGGCCTCTGAGAAGTTTCTTTGGCTCAGCAGCTCAATCAAAGGACACACTGGGGTGAAGCAATGAAGAGGGGGCAGCAGCCAGCAAGACCGCCAAAATTTGTCCCTCAGTCCCTGAATGCAGAAAGGGCAGCCTGGATGTCTCTGTCATGTGCCACAGTACACCACAGGAAAATGCCCAGCAGGGCAATGGACTGAGCCAACAATAACACCACCCCACTTAGATTGTGCCTGCCTGGTCATCTCTGCAGACTTGCCTTTTGTTCTTTTTTCCTTTTAATAGGATTTTTTCAGAAAAAAAAAACCAAAACAAAATCAAGGCAAGAAACTTCTTGTTAGTGACCAAGTGCTGGTGTCCTGTTTCTGTGCTGGTTACTCGCGTGTAATTCAAGCACCATCACCAGTGCTGGCCCCAGATGCTAGAGTTGCAGTTGCTGCAGTGCTCTCCCCCTCCCAGCCCTTGACATCCTACCTGGCATACTGCATCTGCTCTCCCCTCTCAAAGGAAAGGGATTTCCCCAGCCCTGGTCATGTCTATGATGGCACACCGTTTTTGTCTGAACAGTTCATGCATTATTTTAAAAAGCTGTCAGTAAACAAGCCTCGATGGTAATTCAGCTTCCTCGGTTCTCTGACGCTCTCTAGTGCCTACCTTAGAGTGGAGACAGCAAGGCAGACAAACTGCCTTGCAGTGCGTGTTGCTACACATGCTGCAAAGCAAATGCAGAAGATGACTGCTCAGCCAAATCTAGCAGGTACAGCCAGTCTGAAGGATACAGTTGCCTACAGAGCAAAAGGGTGAAGGAAAAACATCCTGGGCTTTCTGTGGAACAAGGGCTATTAGGACTGAAGCTGAGTTTGGTTTGTTAACATTTGTCAAGAGCTTTGCAAATGTATAGTGCTATATATAGGTTATGAGAGACAAAAATGCCAAGCATGATTACTGGTAAACCCCTGGGATGCCACATATCTCTGTTACTTGCTGCAGGGGCTCCTCTCTCAAGTGCTCCTGGTCCAGCCTTGCACAGCCCTGAGCCAAGTTTTGTTTTCAGATGCTTTTCCTCTGTAACCCAAGCCCTGTTCCACAAAATGTCAGACAGTACCTCTTTGTGCTCCAGACAGCACGCTGGCATACAGTGCTCCGCGTGGCACAAGATAAATGTAAAGGAGCACGGTGACCTTTAAAGCCATGTCAGATGGCTCCTTGACCCAGAGACCTCAAAGAGGTTAGATTTCCTGCCCTCCTGCAGCTACTCAAAAACATGAGAGGGCCGGAGGAGAGAGACCTCTGTATCTCTCCACGTGAAGACTAAGAACAAATTGCTTCTTTAGTGGCTGCTTTCACCTTACCCAAAGATGAAATGAAAGCTTATCTTGCCGAGATGCACGTATGTAGGAAGCACAGGCATGGAGAAGGGGGGAAGAGTCCTCCTACCTCACTACTGGCAATGGCAAGGAGAAGAAATGGGAATGATCCTTTCCACGTGCCAGGCTGCTCTTCTGTTGTTGCAGAGGATTAGTGAGAATAAAAAGATACGATGGTGAAATCCTCCTCTGCTGAAGGCAATGGCAAAACTCCCACTCACTTCTACAGGGCTAGGATCTCTCCCTTTTTAACAAATTAATTATGAGCTTCAAAATCCAATTAAAAATAGGAACATCACAGAGCTGTGCCACACTGACTTTTTTCAGGCTCTAATTCCTCAAAATTAATAACCACACTTAAAACTCGTGCCTGTGAGCCACTCCCGAGGAAGGAGGCTCTACTCCTTAACTCACCTTTATTCAACACAAGGATCTGTGCAGTGCTTAAACAAACCCATACACCCACATTTATACAAATGCACTCAACGGAGGAGCCAATGCACGTCCAAAAAGAAGCTGATACCCATATGGGCAGCTGTTAAATACTCAGCTGTTTCAGTTCAGAACGTGCTCCACACCGTGCAGTCAGTTCAGCTTTCACACATCCACAAATGCACCTGGAAAGGCAGGCAGCCAGCAATGCAGACATATACCCCAGCAATAAATTATGCAATTTTCTGAGATGAGCACTAGTGTTAAAACAATGTACCATTTGCTTACGGAAAATCTTCTAGAACCAACCCAGAACAGTGGCTTGCTTTCTAATTTTTTCCCTGGGAGGTGGAGATTGCTACCTAGTGATTTCAGGCTGACCACATTACTTTCCTTGGGCAGACATGCATCAGAGAGCACTGCAGCGCAGTAAAGGCCAGCTGATCTGCGAAACAGTGGGTATGCAGGACCCAACATCCACACCGCATGCATTTGAAGGGTGTTATTTCTGGCTAGCCACAGCCTGGTCCTGTGGCCTGAACCCGTCCGTAGGTGAAGCGTGCCAGCAGTGCCCTTGCAGAGCACCTCCCAGGACAAAACCATATGTGCACTCCAGCCAGGCTGAACCAAAGCACAGTGAATGTGGGCAACCAGAAGGCTCACCTCAAAAGGGGACTCCTGACCACCAGGAGTTGCTCAAATAGACGCATCCTTGGCTGCCTGCTGAGGATCCCCAAGAAGCAGCCTGCACGTGACTGCAAGGGCACAAAGCTGTGCTGAAACCTACTGATCTAAAAGGACCTTACCATCAGAAAAGTTAGTGGTACAGCAACACTATTAGCCCTTCAGATAAGCTTTAGGGTTTCAGTCCGCCATGACTGCGTACTTCTGTGAAGCAGCCCTCTTCATTGGGGCTCTGTCCTGCAGTCCATAACCCATTTTAATCTTTTAACCTTCCTGGAGTGTATTTTCATACCCTGAGACTGGGACGCCTGTGGAATAGGCTCTCTGTTCCACTTCTGTTTATGGCACCTCACACAACCTACCTCTTCTCCTAAAAGTACCTCCAAAGCACACTTCAGTACAGTCTAGCCCTCCACCCTCTTTATTTCATCCAGCCTGGTCCAATCTGGTAACTGGAGGACACCGACCTTTGCAAATTTATAGGAAACATGCAATAGTGAATCTAGAATTTATGAGTCATAACAAAAATCCATCAGACTTTGGCAGCCCTGAAATCGGGTCACTATTCCTTTAGTGACTAAGACAAATAAATGCAAGACTCTAAATATTAGGCACCTAGTTATAAAAATAAACAAATGATTGGTATAGCTTTCTCTTGAAAGCCAAACATTTATCATTTGAAAACATGAAAGAGCCAAGCATACAATCCCAGCAACATTACTATGGTAAACACATACCAGGCTCTCAGCAAAACATGACTGATCGCACTGGTCCTTGGGACTTCTCCCTCAATTTTCCAGCCTTGGGCCCTCTTGGTGAGTTTCATCTCATGCAACTCAAAAGTCATGATCTGAAATAGCCACCTATGGCTATTTTTCAGGTTAACAAAGGGGCAAAGGCATGTGCAGAGTGTGACACATCAGACCCCAGTCAGACTGGAATTGGAGGTGAATTTCTCTCCTTTCATGGTACAAG